GATTGCGAAGGGTGCGGGTTCGAGTCCCGTCTGCTGCCTGGTCCGCATGGAATTTTTTCTAGTTATATTTTCTTTAGATTTAAACATCAAGCAGTTACATGCTTTAAAAATAATAAAAAATTATACTTTTACATAATTACATTAGTCCTGAGTCACGTACTTTGATTTGAAGTTTGCAATAGGAAAATTAAACTAGCAGACACATCCAGCAGCAAGATCGTCATAAAACGTATTTTTAAAAACTGTCTTGGTTTCTCTTATTTATTGAAAAGAAAGGGAATGTAATTATTGATTACTTTCAGTGCGCTATTTTCAGGTTATGGCAAGTAATTTATCGCAAATTCACTTAAGTAAGCTATACATCAAAATTGCGCTGGGTACCTTCGTGGAAACAACTTGATTACTTTTACTTTTTAAAACCAAAACAGCTGCCAGAAATACTTTTTGTCACGTTCCCACTACTGGATGTGTATTCTATAAGACTAATATATATTATACCTATATTAGTCTGTCGGCTTCATTTTTGGAACCTAGACCTGCAGTCTTCTATATAGGCTATACCTATAGAAGGTAGCTGGCAGGCAGCAGGTAAGTCCCAACAGACTAACGTAAAGCTACAATGGGTTTTATACAAGGTTATATTTTTTATACACACAAACACATTATATTACAGAGTACGTCAAAATATTAGCGAGACTTTTATATAAAGTGTGTTAATGAAATTCATAGAAACAGAAAAAATACTATCTTTACTCGATAGTCACAATATAAGTTATTACCGTATATCATAGTTATTGTTCTTAAAACGTGACTGATTTTATAACGCTGGTTAATATCGATCTACTTACGAGCGTGGTCGCGATAATCATGTGATTCGATGAAGCCGAGTCACGTGTTCGAACATCGGCACTTGCGTTTTTTTTTCATCTTACTGTTGGTTCGAAACGATAGCACAACACAATGTTCTATAGACAGGGTTTATGCAATTGAAATACTTGGTCTGCTCCAGGCGACATTTTTTTTGTGTTTAAAAATGGAACAAAGCAATTTTTTGGTATGGTATAGACTGTGAATACCACTCGACTCTGATCATAATCAATTTATTTTATATTGTCTGTACTGTGTGGAGTTCAAATTATCTTCTTATTGGCTATGGCTCATCATTCCAGAACTTGTCGTGCGTTTTGGTTCTTATTTTGCGTTTGGGTTCGAATACTTTAAAGTCCTGTGTACAGTTACATTATATATTATTATTTGGATGCAATTTTATAAGGTTAAGATTAATGTCTCATACTGAAAGAACTCTGATTCGATGTTATTTTTTTAAAATGTGAAGAAGCAAATCTGAAATGATTATTCTGTAAGACCATAAAATAGAATCAAAAATATTTAAACGTAGCGTTTGTTAATATTCGTTACGCTAAATACGCTATTACGGTTCCCCGCGAAGACCTACAAGCGTCCGTCTCAGATTTTATTATAATAAGCGGATTTTATGTTCAGCCCGAACTGACACTGTCTCGCTCGACTCGAGTCCCGAGCAAGCGTATAAGGCGAATCGGGTTTCGTTGTAAGTCTAGATTGTTTAGCTAGGATCGCGTTTCGTTCGCTCGTGTGGCTCCAAATCCGATTTCAATTGACGTATGGTATGATCCAAATTTTCGGTGTCCAAAGTTTATGATTAAATTATTGTGTTTTTTTTTTGTTATATCTTAAACTTATGATAAACACAAAACTAAATGACCAAAATGGGACTGTAAATAGTGACCTTGCAACTACACTTGCAATTGGGATAAAGAGAAACCACTAGAATTTTGTTATTCTGTTGAAGAATAAAATCAATGTTATATTGTGAAATCTGTGTAAACACTAGCTGACTTCGTACCGCCATAAAATTATGGGCTGGTGGTAGAAAGGTGAAAATTTAGGGTTTTACTTTTTTTTAATGCCACATTATAAAAAAATAACGAAAACAAAATTTGTCCACTAAATAAAAAATAAATGTTAGGGATGGACAACCCTTAGCACTTATGGGTATGAAAAATATAAATCGGTCAAGTCGTTTCGGAGGAGTATGGTAGCTAACATTGTGGCACGAGAGAATTTTATATCAATAGTACTATACTGATATTATAAAGAGGAAACATTTGATTGTTTGTTTGTTTTTATTAAATAGGCTCCGAAACTACTGGATCGATATGATGAATTTTTTCACAATTAGAATTTAACATTATCCCTGATAAACATAGGCTATAGAGTATTATATATCAAAATAGTAAGGGTTTTGTATGAAAACTTAGATAATGTAACCCAATGTGTGACAAAAATACCAAAAAATAACCTTTCATCGCGTACGCTGCAGAAGTCATTGACAATAGAGCAAAGTGATGTACTAAAGTTTTTAAGAGTATCTACATAAAAATTTGCAGTACCATATGTTATGGTATGGTATGGTACCAACTATTACAGTTATGTCACAACTAGAGATCTCCAGCGGTTTCACTCGCGTTAATTTGAGGAAAAAGGTTATAGTGAGTCAAACTTAAATGATGGACTTTTAAAGGGGAAAACTTCGGTCATACATAATTTTTGTGTGAATTGAACTGTTTACTCGGCGCCCGCAACAAAAACTCACAAATGGAATATTTTTACCCGTTTTTGCAACATTTTAGAACAATATGCCCGATTCAGACTTAAGAAACGCGACGCCACGCCACGCGTGTTATGACAAAATCAGAATCACATTAGATGCATCCGAGGCGTCGCGCCCTGGATAATACTATCATTGGTGAAATAATTATGAGTGTTAAAATTTATGGGTGTGTACAAACTTCTGCGTCACGAAATACATTTAATAATAGGGGCATGAACCAATGGTAAGAGGAACACACTTTTTTAACAGCAGAGCGATGGTGCATTCTATACAAACGGGTAACCTACGCAAAAAAAAAATCACTATCAGTTAAATAAATTTTCACGGAAGGTTTATAATTATATGAAGGAAGTCGTTTTGTATAATACAAGCCTGAGAACAAAAACTATAGTCTACACCGAAGCGAAGCGAGGGCGGGCCACTAGTATAAGATAAATAGTGTAACAATAATGTATTTACTCACATGCACTAGAAGAGAAACTTACAAATATTCAGAAATTAGTGTGTGTAGTTACATGGTATAAACAATACCATGTATGATCTAGAAAATCTTTGTGGATCGAACCAACGTCTATTCAGTTGTCTATTCTTGCTTAAACAGAAACTGTTTTAGAACGAGGTGTTGGTGCGAAAGTTTCCCACATTTCATGTCACGACTTCTTTACGATTCTAATTCACGGAAAAGAGACATGCGACGGGAATGGTGGAGCTCTTAGCAAATGAAAACTCAGTTTTTACGACGCTTTTCTTGAAATTATTCGCCTTGCCGTTACCGTCGAATATGTTGGGCTAGCTGATGCCTGCTACTTTGTTCGCGTTGAATAATCTACTTTCAATGCTTAACTTTATTTCCTTATTGCGTCCACTTCAAGGTTTATTTTTGTAATAAAAAGTAGCATTTGTCCTTCTCAAAGTTTCTCTTTATTTATCTCCTCCCCATATCTAAATTATCAATATGAAAAGCGTTAAAATATTGAGTTACTGAATATTATTTAAAACTTGTATGGATTGTTGTATCAAGATCAAGAGATCCGTCCGAATTAGGACAACTGTACGTAACTTACATCATCATTGTCATCATTGAATTTTACAGACTGTCAGAAATCAATATATCTTTATTCAAATTGGATGTATAGTACAACACTTTTGAATCGTCCAAACTTTTTTTTTAGCTGCGGGGAAAAACGAGCGAAAAAAACTCCACAACATTAAAAGTATAATGTAACAACATTTACAAATCATTATGTTGTTACAACGTCAATACAATCATGATTTATTTAATATAGAAAACCTGTTGGAATGATTGGAACAGTTCAAACCCAAGCATTTTTGTCTGTAATATAATCAGACACTTTGTAATAAGCTTTTTTTTTAATAAGTGTTTTGTTTTATACTATCTTTGAATTTATTTATGGTTAACTCTTGGATATTGCTTGGGACTTTATTGTTTAAGCGAACACAAAGACCTTTAAATGAATTATTGATTTTGTGAAACCCAGTAACAGGTAAAGTTAGTTTATTTTTGTTTCTTGTATTAAGTGTGTGAACATCACTGTCTTTAAGAAACAAATTAATAATTTTTCTTGTCAGTACCAAAATACGTAAATTAAGGCTACCGTTTATGAGTTATTAAGACGAAGACGCTGCAAATTTCTAACCGCACCTGATGTTAAGGCGCTTTGCAGACGACCGGGCGGGCCGGTCAATTTCGCCGCGAATAATAGCAAAAAGTGAATCCTATACTTCAAACGCACACAGAGGGCAAAAAGACCGCGCCTTGGGTGCCCGGCGGGCAGTGGCGGCGCGGCATGTCCGCGGCTGCCCGCCGTGGATAATACAAACCAGTTTATATGCAGTAACGCAGACGTCGGCGCGGGGCGGCTAGCTCAGTCCGCACCACCCGCTTTTTAGTGATGGACTATTCACTAGAAAGAACGTCCTGAACTGACTGCCTCTGTCCGTCGAGTGCTTTGTGTACGCGGCGCGGGCAGCCTCAGACATCGACGGGCAGACGCGATCTTTATTGTTTCGCGGACAAAAAGCCCGCCCCGCCCCGTCGTCTGCAAAGCGCCTAAGTGTGAGACACGAGTCAATTACGAAAATGCAGTTACTCCAACCAGCGTTATCTTGCCGCCCTGGGGGTCAATTGATTGCCTTTGCCTTTATGTATAAAAAGAAATGTGTGCTGGGACACATAGTAAAAGTAAAACTTCAACGGACAACCGCATCTCACAACGCGATATATCGTCTACCCTCTCCAAGCAGCCGTAACGCTTTCTCGAGACAGATATAAATAGAAGTTTCAGTTCAAAAAATAAGCATCTATATTTTGTTTTTTTGTTTACAGGGAATGCATGTCATGTACACGGAGCCGCCGGCGCAATATCGCAGCATTCAGCCCCAAAGCACTCAGTCTGAGCACCAGCCGGCCTCGCCGCCGCGCCACCAACCAGCCAAGAAGCGACGCGTGCTGAGCCCAGCGCCTGCGCCTGCGCCCGCACACCACACGCTATCACACACGCAACCGGACAACGCCAGCTACAAGGTACTGCGGCACAATCGCACAAATTTAATGACGTTTTGTGTCTCCGCAGCTCTGCAGTTAGTAAGGGGCGTCGCTGAATAAACTCAACTAAAGCCTGCATGTAGTTGTGCTCGATGCTAACCTCGCACCCGTCTTTAGTTTAAATCGCAATATAATCTCATACGTTTATGCTGTGCAATAAGCTTCTTGGATAGGTATTCCTAAAGGAATACAGCATGGGTTTCTTATTATGATACTCTTATATACTTACCATTAGGCGTTAGTTAATTTTTACTTTCCATATGTAACAAAGAAATCCGTATAATTTTAGGCGAGGTAAGGCATAGATAGCTGTTCGAACCTCAAATTAAAACACCCGTATGATGTTGTTTTTAAACAAGGCGTAGCAAATTACTCTACCACATCTGATGTTTTAGCGAAAGTGGAGTCGCAAATATAAGCAAATCTCACAAGATGAGGTTATCTGGTGTGGCACGCCAGGCGCGCTTGACTCGACTCACGGTAAAAAATCTAATTATGTATTTACGAGGTCTACTATGAAAAAATGCATTGATTGAGTAACCTTGTCACACATAGGCTGCGGTTTCTTTCTACGGCTTATGGCAACGCAGTGACACTTCGAATTAATTTCACTTTAGGTACACGCTTACGAACTGATGAATATGTAATGAGTCTACAACGTCGCTTGATATAAGGAGCAAAGCCTAATGAACCGTGCTTGATCGCATAAATAGTTGTCTACATAAATAAGTGTTCGTTCACTTAGTATAATTTCAAACAACAATTTTGTGGGGAGTAGAAAAATAATATTACTTAAATTGGTGATTGTAACTTTTACATTTTATGAATATGAATAATCAGGGTTTTGTCAAAAGTTCATTTTCCAAGTGTTGATTGCTGTCATTATATGATCATGCATTATTTTGTTCACCTCTTACAGCAAACTGAACTAAACATATTTATTAATTTAGATTGAAATGTTTCTGTAATTGTAACAGGCTTTACCAAACAATCACAAGAAAGACAATTTTAGGTTTAGTGAAATTTTCATACTCCGTTAATGGTAATTGTCGATTTCACTGCTGCTATTAATTATGTTCCGCTATTAATAAATGATATGTGGAGTTTTGCTTGAGCTCGATCTTGATTAAATAGAAAAACTCTTTAAAGTATGGTGGTCCAGCTTAAACAATTATCATTTTAATGTGACAGACTACAAACTTGGTTTGTTGCACGTCTGTATAATCAACTCATTTTGGGAATTAGGGGTGCCAGATTAAGAAGTCTTAAAATCTGGATAACATTTAAAATAGACGATTATTTTGAGATTGTTGTCAGGAGATTTACACCACCACCACCCCCTTACCCCCATCGACGGGATACCGCTAGTGCATTGCACGAAACCCACGTCTAGTATGATGTAGCATTATCAAATAATATTGTGACAGAGGGTAACGTATATCGTCGTTGTTCCTTTGTCTGGAGTCTGGAGATCACATGTAATGTCGAGATGAGAATCCAGACTGTTTCCGGCCATCTGGCAACCCTACAGCTTGTGCGTAATGGTATGACATATGTGGATTTCTAGGTAAACTAACTAGAATCGATCAGTTATATTTGCGTGGGCCGATTCCCAAGATGCGGTTCACGGAGTGCAATGGCGGCATCTGTCGCGAGATGTTCTCTGTCTCTGTACCGTTAACCAGCATCTGGGGCACTTTTGAAAGTGCCAAACCAAAAGCAATTGAACTCGCCTCGTTTGCAGCGCAACCGAAATTCAATTTTCAGTGTCTTTTGTTGTTCTGGTTTAATTGTTCGCCGGATATCGAGTATCCTGGACAGAGCCGAGTCTGTAGTAATTGGAGAACACTCGAGACCGGTTCTTATTGTTTTACTGCAATAGCAATAACAGATGATGACGATGTTGCATACTGGATCCACTTTTGGAAAAGCGAATACTATTATTTTTCTATATCTGAAAAGTGTCTTCAACAAGCCCACTTAATGGATAAAGTCTTTTTTAGCCTTTACCGTTTTCAATAAAATGCATACTTTCCTCGAAAATTCTGTCTCGTGTTCTCATTCCATGCATCTCAAAACCAGGAATTGAGCTATAAGGCTGTGTTGGACACTTGCAACATGGACTTGCCTGTAATATTCTCCGTAGTTTGTTAGTAACTTAAAGTTTTCTAATCATTATTAGATTATAATTGCTAACATATGATTTTGGACTTTGTCATTAAGTAATTGTGTAACCGTGTTTATTGGAGATAAAATATATACAACGATACACTTTAAAGAGGTTCGTGGTGACAGTTTTCTTTCATTCATGGATTTCTACATGCCACTGTCTATAAAATAAATTCTTAAGTGAATTCTAAACAGCTCACAGTTTTAAATTCAGCAAGTGTATGCGTTTCATTGTACTCGAAAATCCAACTACCAAATTATTCTTAAACGAAAATTTCGCGAATAACAATTTAATCAACATAATCATTCGACCGCAATCTAAATATGACCGTACCGTGAGGTGTTTAAGATCACATTGGCTCGGAGCCGGCGTTGCTATGACGCAATACTGTTTGTTTACGTGGAGTGAAGTGGGTACGTGCATTTCGCGAGCGGGCAGGCATCGGCGCACGACACGTTGCCAAGTCGTGCTGAGCCAAATTTGGCCCTGCTGTGATGGCTACGGGCACGCAATAACACGACCAGTTTTTGTCAGTAACAAACCTCGAGCCTCGTGCTGTCTCCGCTGAATCTTGTTACCGCGTGCCGTGTACGTGACATGGATTGGATATGCTCCATAATAACTGAAAGAATACCTGAATGTACTGAATTTTATTTAACATAGTCGTATTATAGTAGAACACACAATTCCAATTGTTATTATGACAAATGCAGCCCATATTACATATAAACTACCAGAAGTTGTTGCCGGCTCGTTGACATTTCTTCAATTGATCAGGGGGCCAATCGCCTAACGGAAATGCTTTGGAAAACGCTAACGCTTACGATTTTATTTTGTTATTTCTAGCCGCCTGAGGTAATCAAACGCCTCGCGCTCTTTCTTTTTCTTTTGCATTGGTAATAACAATATTAAAAAAAATGAGCGTGAGGTATTCGAAAACCTCAGGCGGCTAGAAATAACAATATAAAATCGTAAGCGTTAGCGTTTCCCAAAGCATTTCCTTTAGGCGATTGGCCCCCTGATTGGCTGACACGCGTCGTTCGCCTCTGTGCGCCAAAAACAGTTCTTGCGCGTCAAATTTCAATTAAGGTGAAAAACTGCGAAGGACGTCGTCTTCGCGTCCCGGATATCGTTACAGTAGTTGTTTTCGACGATATTCATTGCATGTTTCCTGTGTGGTTCAATTAAATGGACCAGCCTACTAACATTAGTACGATCCCCTCCCTCCCCCAAATAAGGAAAGTTAATCGTGTTGTCCGTAACATTTATTTATACAGAGTAAATCCGGTGTAATTTTGAAGAAATAGCACAATAAAGCCATTCAATGCTAAAGAACTCGATTCGTTTGTAATGAAACGAGCGAACAGATATGCCTTGACATCGTTAGCGGTTCCAGCGAGGGTTTGTTTTGTTTTAACCCAGCGTTTCGCACGGTGTAATTGCGTTTGTGATGGAGATTTCGAGATGTGATGAGCGAATTGGCACTCTCAGACCAATACAGGTCACTCACCCGGAGCGTCCCCGTCACCCCTCGCACCTCTGCTGCGTCTGAGTTACGTAACTGCGCTGTTGCCACTCCGGCGGCGACGACATTGCCAAAGTTTAGCTCCTCATCTGTCATTCGCTCCTGGTATCAATCACCTTTAATATTATCAAATTTTAATCCTTTTTTTTATCTAACCCGTTTGTCATAGAACCTCATTCGACGACCTCCGTGGTCGAGTGGTTCGTACGCCGGGTTTCATGGTGTCGTCGACTCGAGAGGTCCCCGGGTTCGAATCCCGGTGGGGGCAGATGTTTGTGTGAAGAATACGAGCATTGGTACTCCAGTCATGGATGTTTAATATGTATTTCTATATAAATATACTTTTATATGTACTGTATATGTATTCTATCCGTTACCCTAGCCTTACAGTGCTAACTTTGGGGCTAGGCTAATTGGTGTAAGTGTTGGAAATATTTATTTATTTATACATATATATAAGCCTTGGGCGGTGCATTAGATTTTTTTGTTCTCTTCAATAATTTTGCAAACTCGGTCTGTGTTTCGAAACAAAACATACAAAAACCTGCGGCTTTATTTCATGGCGATTAGTCAGTGTCACAAACTTTCACCTTAGCACACTGTAGTGTAGGATATTGTAACTGCGGGTCGCCGGCTCAACTTTCACAGTTGTAAACGATATCCCTGCGCTAGTTTGTGACCTCGGTCGCCGAACATCATTTTTTTACCATCATGTAGGTACTTGTTTGTGTTTGTCCAGTAGGCTGGTATATAGAGGTGGAGATGAATGCTTTTGCTACATTGGAGGTAACCATTCAAAACTGCGACACTTCTTCTTCATAATGATGTCAACTTAAATTTACTCTACCCAATTTGTCATTGCTACCTAGTACTTAATCTAACGCTTTAATGAAATGTGTTACTGATACCTCTTCTATTTTATCAATTAGTTTATCCTGATTACATTTTCTGATTCCCTTTCTGTGACATTCTTTAAAGATGTTTACTTCACTTCATTGTAAATATCCGTATAAATTTGTGACATAAGGCATTTGTAACTACTTTTGTTTTTAGCGTATAAAATTGTATCTCATTATAAACTCATTTAATGTGTTTAAGTAATACTTGATTTGAATGAGATAACAAGACCAATTTTTGCCGGAAGAACAGGTTTCATAACCGCTAAATCTGTACCCATGAATCTAAATTGACGTCTTGTTCTGGAATCAAACAACCATTGCATTTACTTTTCCACACTTATTTTGCCATCAACCATGAGAACAGTAAAATGATTTTAAAAATAGA